TGTCGAGTCGTTTTCTTTTCTTTGAGACAGCCTTGATAGGTAGATAGTTAAACCAACCTGTCAGATAAACACAATAAGCATGGATCCCGTTGAGTACAACGGACGTGAGGGGTGCTAATACCTTCCCCTTGCGTAACCAACTCCCGAACCCAGACATGGTTGCGATGACCTTGTCTTATACCTTTTCGTCAGGTTTTTCCAATCGTTTCCTTTCCCTTTCCGTGGGATAAATAACGAAAGGTGGCGAATCTTTTGTTTTGCCGGCAGCTTATTTTCGCAGTAGCGACAATTATCATTGTTGATTATCTTGCTGGATGTTTGTTGCATGTTTGCATTTGCTTCTGATGCCGCTTGTTGCATGCTTGTTTGATCGTTCTATCGTTCACTTGAATTTAAAAGCATGTTGATCTTGATGATTCTTGATGATGCATTGTTGTTGATCGATTATGTTTGATTGTCGAAGCATGTTCACATTTGCATGATATCTGTTCATGATTGATGCTTACTTTTGATTAATTACATTCAAGCTTATTTGTTGCCCTGCTTTTCACAATTATGGTTATTCTGATCTTGCATGCTATCTTTGCCTTGCTTGCTTGCTGCCTGCCTTTTACACATGCTTTTGTGTTGAAATGTGTGCTGTTATAGGCTGTCTTGCTTGTATGCTAGATTATATTGTTGTTTTAGCCTTGTTTTCTTATTTTTGCTTTGCATGCTCCCTTAGGGTTCTTTATTCTAATTTAATTTCCTATTAAATTTGGAGTAAGATAGACATTAGGAGTTTAATCCATGCATGACAACAAGTAGGCTAGTTCCTTTTACCCTCAACCTTAGGTCCATCTTTTGCAGCATGCTAACATTAGGATATAATCTCCTTTTGCATCCCAACTTTAGGACCACTTTGCATGATAACGTTAGGGCCGAGTTTCCCTTAGACTTTTTGTGTGTCTCTCTTCTCATCTCAAAACACATTCTGACTCACTTAATAAATAATGATGAACATTGTGCGCCACGAACCTTAAGTATGTGGGAAATGATGAGTGGGGGGTTTTCTCCTCACTTTTTAGAGTTTTTAGTGTATGCCATTTGGACGATATGCGACGCATTCGTTCCTATGTCATAGTCTTTAGTGCAACATGAATCACAAAGCAAACCAATTCACTTCACTAAAACTCAAAAATAAAATTCAAACCTTTTTCTCCTTCTGGATTTGTGTTTCAAACTCATTTTCAGAAAATAGTACGTTACTTTTCCGTTCTACCGCAAACAAGCATCGACCCTAATTGCTGGAATCAGAACTTAGCGTCGCTTATAAAAAAACACTTAACCAACCTATGGTTTCGTTACCCAAACTATGTTTGCTCTAATTTCTCATATCAGATGAGGATAGGTAGGCACAAGACGACGATGTCTTGTCGAGCAACCTTCCCCCCAACACAAGTACTTTCCGAACTACGTTGACTCTAACTTTCCCATTGCATGAGGGAATACGTAGGCATAAGGTGACGATGTCCTATCGAGTCTCTTTTCTTTTCTTTTGTTTTCGTTTCCGTTTAGCAGTAGCTTATAGATAAACACACCCTTTGATTAGACAACAAGCATGGACCCCGTTGAGTACAACGGACGTGAGGGGTGCTAATACCTTCCCCTTGTGTAACCGACTCCCGAACCCAAGATTTGGTTGTGATGACCTTGTCTTCTCCCGTTCTTCATGTTTTCTTTGATCGTTTCCTTTCCCTCTCTTTGGGATAAATAACGTTCAATGGTGACTCTTCTGTTTTTCCATCGGGTGTTTTTTCGCAGTTGCAACAGCATGCCATCTCGAGGTCATCCCATGACAAGTTGCTTTCAAACTTCCTTCTAAGGAAAAATCCTCCAAAGACCCAAAAGACTAGGGCAAGTTGAAATAAATAGGGGTAAGACCTCTCAATGCTTTCAAAGATTCTCAAGCAAGCTCTATCACACGTCCGCATCTTTCGAGTTCAAGACGAGTGTCAAGGAACCATGTAATCGCCCCCATCAAAGAATCTTTGCCTTTCTACAGAAGCCTTGCTTCTAAGAAACCATTCCATCCATTATTCATATAGGGGCACTTCTGGAAACCTTCATATCATTGCATAAATCATCATCAAGCATTATTCATGCCGCTTCACTCTAGCATAGAGCCATGCTTATCATCTCCTTCATCGGGCATAACCCCATAATATGAATCATACATCAAAAACCCTTGTAACCTAAATTACTTCAAAATCAGCTCTCGTCAGGCAAATCATCTCAAGATACCAGTTCCCGCCTAGTAAATAACTTCTAAAATCGGTTCTAGTCTGGTCACCGATTCTTTAGCCTACTTCAGTTCTCGGAAGATAGTCAATTTTATTTTCATAACCAGTTCCCGTCTGGTAGCCTATTTTAAAAGTCAGTTCATGTTTGATACATAAACAAGGAGCCAGTTCTCGTCTGACAACTTAACCATTTTGCCACAAATTCTCGTCTGGTAGTTCACCCCTCAAAACCAATTCTCGTTTGGTAATTCACCTTTAAAGCCCAACCTGCATTGGCAACTACCAAATAAAAGTCCACCTTGCTGGCACCTTCTCTAATCACCTATTATGTGCTTCATATGCATCATACGCATCATTACATACATAAACTAGAAATTCATATCCCAGCATTTGCATCTCAATGCATCAACATTCACATCATATTTCCATCCAATATGGAATACCTATACACAATCAAACATATATACATGCATAGGTCAGGATCCTGGATCAATCACGAGATTTTAGATCAATCCTCAACTAAGCTATTGGGCGTTCCCCATGGAGTTGTTCTCTTCTTTCTTTTGTTGATGAAGTTGGCATCCTTAGTTAATTCATTGGTATTTCTCCAAGCAGAGTTCTTACCAGACATTATTCAGTAGGCGTTCCCTATTGAGTTGTTTTCTTCAACCTTTTGTTGTTAAGGACGGTGTTCCTCGGTGACTTCTTTCTTCTTCAACCTTTTGTTGATACCCCAAGCTAGTCTTACTCAGAGTGTACCGATATTCCTCCATCCAATTTACTATCACCCTTTTGGTGGTATCAAATCATGTTTTTTCAATCTTACCTTCATCCTTTTGGTGTTGGTGACCATTAGAGTTGGGAATTTCCTATCATTCTTTTGGTGATAGCAAAATTATGTTGTTAATCCTTGTCATCTTTCTTTTGGTGATGTCCATCATCTTTTTGGTGTTGGAAAATCTTCAGCAAGTTGTTGACCTCATCCTTTTGGTGAAGGGTCATAGTTGTGTATTTTCTATCATCCTTTTGGGGATAGTCATTTAGCAAATCATTGATCTTACCTACATTCTTTTAGTGTTGGCGGTCCTTAAGTCTTTGGTCTATGTATCATCCTTTTGATGAATGACAACCACTGAATCATTGTGTACTTATTATCATCCTTTTGGTGATAGCCTGTTTTGACCTCACTTTCATCTTTTTGGTGAAGGGTCATTAATTTCTCACTATCATCCTTTTGGTGCTAGCAAGAGTTAGTGCGATCCAACCATCATCCTTTTGGTGATGACGATCTTTATCATTCAGATTTAATCTTCATCCTTTTGGTGACGGCAATCATTGAAGACGTTTGATTTAACTATCATCCTTTTGGTGGTAGCCAGCTTTGTGTATTTATCTTATTGTTATTATTTTGGTAATAGCAAGTTTCAGTGTGATATCTATCATCCTTTTGGTGGTATTGATCTTTGAATTCTGAATTATTCATCATCCTTTTGGTGATGGCTGTTATCCTTTTGGTAATAGCAATCTTTGAGTTTGTTGGTCATCCCGTCATCCTTTTGGTGATGTTGACCTTGGTCTTGATGCCTGATCATCATCCTTTTGGTGATGACAGTCACAGTTTTGATTTAAACTGTCATCCTTTTGGTGTCGTTAACCTCTATTAATGTTTTGTTCAATGTCCACTTGAGGCTCGACATTGATCTTCTATTTCACTCTCTTTCTCTTTAGACAAATTCTGAGTCTTCTTTGTATCTAATTGCTTTTACCTTGAAATTATGAATGTTGACCAATTAATCTTACTAGGTTTAAGCCACTTAGATAAGGGCAGCTGTCATACCCCAAATATGCCCTACCTGTAAATACCCTCAATTATGTTTCTAACCACTATTCAAAACCCAAAAATGTGTTGTTTCAGCTTTCATTTCCTTGTTGTTTAAGTCCAAGGGTTGTAAGGATGAATCGAGGTTCAGACAAAGTTATCAGGTTAATTGTGTGATCAGTAATGGTTGAAGTCTAGTTGGATTTGACCTAATCTTGGTCAGACAAGAGTCTGTTTTATGATTAAGGCCAAGGTGTGCATAATTAAAATGAGTTGTATGCTTGAGGCTCTCGTTAGGGTTTTTGTGCCAATTTAAGTTCATCCGGTGAGTTCAAATTACAGAGCATTTAGGTTAATGCGTTTGCGGTTCAAGACATGTTCATCAAGTCCATATTATTTGTTCAAGAGGGTTCAATGTGAATACCATGGTTCATCAAGATCAAAGTGGCATTAGTTTAATTGTGCGAGCTGTAGATTTATTTTCCAGAGATTGATTCAAGAGAATTCAAAATGATTCGAGATCTATTCCATTTTTTAGCAGAGATGTGGAGATTCGTTAATATCCAGTCAAGATGTGCGTCAGTGAATTTTTATGATGGTTTCCCTTTCCAATTTTCCATCCATTTCATATCCAAACTCGCAAACAATTCCATTACCCATTTTTAATCCATCCAATTTTCAATTTCATTATCCACCATTATTTTACTATCCAAAATCCATATATCTAAAATTTATCATATTCATCTTAAATTGATTCTAATTTCCACAAAACCAATCACAAAGTTATGTTTGTTACAAGAAAAATACAAAAAAAAGCCATTATCATTAAAGTCCATTGAGCTACACACAAAAATTCAAAGTCCATGCATCATTCATAAGATCACTGTTCATAAGCCCATTTACATTCCAAGGATACAAAAATAAAGAAAAAAACCATGTCCATCCCCATCAAAATCGTACACTGCGCACAAACCTCTACAAACAAAAACAATCTGCACTGCACTCCAAAGCACTGATACGACCTGCAACATCTTGCCTGACACAACCATACCATCAAAAAAACAACAACAACATAAGCTAAAACCTGAAATTCCAAAATGCACCAAAACTTGCACATTCTGCTACACACAAAGACCTGTAACCTGCTACCATACCAACATAATGACAATCCTGCTCAAACAACAAAACAAACACTCCAAGCCAAGAACCTGCAACATGAAGACAAGAACCAACGTATGACTAGACAACAACGACAACTCAAGACCAACAATAACCTGCCATGAAAGTGACAACACAACAATACAAGACAAGTTTGAAACATAATTGACAGGTCGGGATCTTTAATTTAAAATACAACAAAAGAGGAGAGAAGATGAAAAAAAATTCTAAACGAACAAGGAAAGAAAAAAAACCTCACTGGAAAAAATAAACCTCAACAACTTTTTCACTCTATCAAACTATTATCATTGGCCACTTACATTAAACACATTAGCCTCCCCACCACTAAAAATCTTCAACCACACAACACCTCAACCCTATAGAATCAGGTTCCACTACAATTTCAAAACAACAAAAGCTACCCTTGAAGGAAAAAGAGCCTCTTGTTAGTGCGATTAAGGATTTGAAGTCGAGGAGACACATGGAGCATAGAGAAAGACATTGTAGTCTCAAATGTTTGTTGCTGATTCCCAAAGGTTATAGAAAATCAGCTCATTGGCCAAAGATCAGGGACATGATGAGATGAGATTGTTAGTTTATTCTGGTATGATAGTGTCTCTCATCCAAAACTAGTTGAATCAAGAAAGACCAACACTAGGTTGTGAAATCTAGTGAACATCTCAAATTTCCAGGAGAAACAAATAAAAAGAAAAACAAATTAAAAGGAAGTCCTTACTTTCTTTCGTCTCCATCACACCCTGATCATATTGATGACAGCATCTCTGAGGTCAGTGAAACTGAACTATGCTTCATCTGCTTTGAGCAAGTCTGTACAATTAAAATCGAACAACCACCCATAACAACAGCCATAACACAACCCAATTATGAACAAAAAATAATCCATTGTGATTCCTCACATCACCACAGCAACCATCATAGAGACAATGCAACTGTAACATACGAAATCGCGCATCCGACCTCCCTCCCGCAACGACGTTAGTTCTCCATCACCTTCTACAAAGTAACCACCCAGGCGAACCAACACAATCGCATCTGGCACTCTAATCTAGGTTTTTTTTCGTTGTTTCATTTTATTTTTGTTTGGTTCACATGTGAAGTGAGTGTAGAGTTTTGAAGGAGAGCGACATGAGAGAGGTTGAAGCGAGAAAGAGAGAATCGAAGGTTTGACGGTGCTATGTCATTTTTCTGCTCTGATCTTGTTTTCCCTTTGCACCCATTTGTTTGGTTTCAAAAAGAAGAAAAGTAAAAAAATAATGTTTTGTGCTGATGGTGTCGGTTTAAAAAATTGTGTTCCATTCATTTCTTTATTTTTGTTAGGTTCTGTAAATATTCTGATTGGATTTTTATTTTTGAAATGATGTTTGGTTAACGGGCTTGATGGCCATCCTTCCCCCATTTTTCTTTTTTTTCAAAACAAATCTGACTTTCTATACCCTCATTTTCATTATCCCCGTCTCTCTGTTTTTTATTTCTTTTCTTTAAATTTTTCAATTAGTTTTTGTTTTGATTTTTAATTGTTATTTAAAATGTTTGTTAATTATTTCTTTAAGATTTTAATTGTTATTTAATTTTTTTCAATTAATTATTATTTTGATATTAATTGTTATTTAAGACCTTTAGTTAATTATTATTTCAATATTAATAGTAATTAGATTAATAAGTTTAGTTATGGATATTAAAAAACCTCAAAGTATTTTCTTAATTAGTCTTTTAATTAATATTTTTTATTTTGATTTGTGTTTAGGATTTATTTATTTAGAATACTTTAGATCTTATTTAGTTAGTTTCTTTACATATTTAATTATTAATTTATTGACTTGTGACTTGATTCCTAAGCTTGGAGATTTGGCTTTAGTTGTTTGATCTTGTAACACCCCACTCTAAACTATCGCGGAAATAAGATAAACAACAGAAACAATTCAGAGTGCAGCAAATAAAATCTCATGACGACCGTCATGGATGTCACGACCGTCACGGTCATGACAAGCGTCATGGAGCTGTGACGACCATCACGCTCCCAAGTTCTCAGACGCAGCAGAGGTGTCACATTCTACACTTAACCAAAACACATACACCTGCAAAAGCTCATTTAATAACACACGTAGCACAAAATTCGGATGAACAAACAACGGTAACTTGTTTAACATTTTAATCATAAACGCCATGTTATAATACACTTCCAAAGATTCGTACTAATTAAATTCCATTAAAATTCAGCAACTAATTATCTTGCATCAATTCGCTAAAACAACTATGCATCCAAGCAACATTTGGCATTATCAGAAACAACCAATCTATTTGACATAGTACTTAATAAAATTCAGCAACAAGGAATTCAATTAAAACAATAACATTAATCGTTCATCCCCCCAGAGTGCTACGTATCAGAGCGACCAACGACCTTAAACATAAATCTACACTTTCTTCCGAGTTACCTGCAAATTACCACCAACGGAGGTAACATACAACATAAAGGGTGAGATATCAACAATATAACATAAGGCATGATAAAAGTCATGTCAGAATATTATCACAGCATTATAATTCCAGCAGTTCGCATAAATATTAGTAATAATTAAACTGCAACAATTCATTATTCATAACCACAACAATTATCATCATATCTCAGCAACTCATCAAAACAACTCAACAACGCAACTTAACAATGCGACTCATCAATGCGACTCAACTGTGCATATGCATGTGGTACCATTTAGGAGCCAACACTCTAAAACTCGGGACAGGGTCAACACCCCGAACCCATCTAGGAGCCAACACTCCAAAACTCGGGAGACAACTCTCCACAATAATTCGGGAGACAACTCTCCACAACTCGGGACAGGGCCAACACCTCGAACCCATCTAGGAGCCAACACTCCAAATAACGCCAATACAGGCACAACCGTCGCCAATCCAGGCCAAATGATATGCTATGAGATGCAACTATTATGGACTATAACACAACAACAACAACAACAACAACTGTGCAACAACCGTGCAACAAGGCATCACGCCTACAACCAATTATCCATAACAGAAACATCACATTTTGTATATATTATGGACTCACCATTTCAATCTGTTCATATCAGAGAACTACCAACAGTATCGTTCCTACGAATAAGACTCTAACACATTTTCACAGAGAACAATTAAAAACAACCTCGTCTCTACAATTGAGAACTCAACCGCATTTTCATGTCAGAGAACAACTGACAACATCATTACTACAAATAAGAACTCAACACATTTTTATACACCTTCATACGGGTAATATAACTACAACTTATCCACGTAATACAAGGAGAAAATTATAATAACATTTCCTCAACAAATGGGAAATTAGCGCGTGTCGGCGCCGATTCCCAACATTGCTACATAAACTAACGACATAAACATTAATGCAGGCATAGACAAACATTAACCCTTAATATTTCTCAATCTACGGGAACATTTACCCTTAATATTCCTTTAATATTTCTCAATCTACGGGAACATTACTACGGTAACGTTACTACGGGGACATCACTACGGGAACATTAATCTTTAATATTTCTTTCTTCAACTTACGGGAACATTACTACGGTAACGTTACTACGGGAACATTAATCTTTAATATTTCTTTCTTCAACTTACGAGAATATTACTACGGTAACGTTACTACGGGAACATCACTACGTATTTGCCCCATTAGGGAAACGTTAGAGCATCGTATATAACATATTCATTCTTACATAAAAAAAACCTCGTCCCTAACATTTATCGATTGACGGAAATTATACCTATGAATCAATTCCCTACATGAAATTGATCATACCCACGGTTATAGAATTGAACTCCACCCTTACCTTGAATAGAGGCCAATTCCAAGCTTTCTGGTTCCGTTCTGCGGTAACTCTCCTGTAACTTTCTCATGCAACTTTCTTCCAATTTCACCGATGGAAAATTCTTCTTCTTACTTTCTCCACAGTCACGCTCCTTTTTCCTTCTCTTCTACCTTTTTCCTCAATTTTGGTTTTCTGAGCAGTTTATCGTGATAACCCTCTTTCTCCCACAACTTCTCTAATAATTGCCTTCTCTCATTCCATCCACTAATATTCCAAATAATAATAATAATAATAATAATAATAATAATAATAATAATAATAATAATAATAATAATAATAGTAATAATAATAATAATAATAATAATAATAATAGTAATAATAATAATAATAATAATAATAATAATAATAATAATATTACTACTAATTATTAAATTATCATCATTATTAATTATATTATTATTAAACTCCAATCGTTATTAAAATAACTCTTACAGTCTAAGGGCATCCACCAACGCACTCAGACACACCTCCACATAAAGGCACACCAACAATTCATAAATAATTTAATTAAAATGAACGGGCGTTACAACTCTCCCCTACTTAAAAGAATTTCGTCCTCGAAATCACCTCAATCAAACAACTCCCAACCATACCACTTTCACCAAAGCAATTTCTTCACCTCGAAGTTGCTTCTCTTTCATCCACCCGAACTAGCAACGCCTCAACAGTCAAATTACCTTTCACTTGTACACGATCTATCCGAATTAATGTACTTCTTCAACCTAGGCACATACCACATCATGTAAATTCCCACGAGTGACAGCGGTAAAACAGTCTAACCTGCTATTTTTCCCCACGCTTCTGCTGCGCCACTCTGGTACAGATCACAAAACACAGTGCGCTTCCGAGAACTCAAGCTTGACCAACACCAGTTACTATCGTAACTCTCAAAACGCGTCTTTCTTGGATCCTTTGGATCTTTTCAGTCGTCTCTTGCACAATCTCAGCTAGCTTCAACATAGAATGATTAATCTCACTTGTTAGGAAAAGAGCCAAATTAGTCATTCTATCCAAAATCACCCAAGTAAAATCATATCCCTCAATTTCTTCGGAAAACCCAACACCAAATCCATGGGAATACTATCCGATCTCCACTCTGGAATATTCAACGGTTGCATCGGACTCAACGGTCTCTGACGTTTATTCTTCGACTTCCAACAAGTCTAATCAGCACATACAAACTCAACCACTTATCTCTTCAACTATGGCCCTCAAAATAATTTCCTCAAATCCGGTTACATCCTCATAGCACCGGGATGGATACTCCATCTACCTCAATACTCTTATTCCACTCAATAATATCTAGAACACAAACTCTATCACGACATCTCATGATACCATTTCCATTAATATGAAAATCATCCCTTCGACTTTAATTCCTCAGATTCAACCAATCTACCAACTCAAACTAGAATTCTGACCTTATCGAATCTCGTCAAGAATACCCTTAGTAAGGTCTAACATACTAAGCTAAACTTCATAAGAAGTATCTTCACAAACCAAACTCATATCACAAAAATTGCTCAATTCGTCCTAACTCTTTTCACCACTATCATCGGCATATGCAAGGATTTCTAAGTCAATGCATAAGCTACCACGTTTTGATTTTCCCGAATGGTAATTCAATCTGAAACCATAATCCATTTCGGAGTTCCAATTATTTTTTTCTGCCTCATATTCGACTCTTCCAAATCAAATAAATACCTTAAACTCTTGAGGTCACCAAACATGTCAAATCTCAAACTAACTAATTGAGCTTCCAACTCCGGCACAACCACAACAGCAACCAACTCTAAATCACTTATCAGATGATTCCTCTTATGTACTTCAAGTTGCCTTAAAAC